AAAACTATTTACAAATGATATTAATAATTTAATAGTTATTTAAATCAATATGGAAGATATCAAATAGGAAACAAAATTTTTAATTCTCTTATGTTTTCATGAAATATAAAAGGTTTAATTGTGTTAGTCCGATTTGTGAATTATAATAGAAGTGTCAATTTATATCTAAGACAAGTTCAATTTTTTTTCACACATTCAGTTAATTTTTCGAATAATGTTGTATATTATAAATTGGTTTTTATTCAATGGTTTAAATCAGTTAATTCAGTAGATATGAGATTTCATTTTGGCTCAGAAAATGAAATGAATGTTAAATTATGAAATACTGAATTTTATCCAATTAAATATGAATGTATAATCACTATTCACAATATTTTTGATTATTTATTTTATTTATATATAAAATATCAAATCAGTATAATTCTTGTAAATATTTAGTTATAATTTCATTAAATCACAAGTATAATATTTAAAATCACTAAAATTTAACTATAATTAAATATAAAATAATTTGTATCTAAATTTAATTTTTTTAAAAATAATTTAATTTTTTTTTTATAATTATTATAATTAATTTACAAAAAATGAAATATTATTTTATAATTCGGCATATTCTGAATTGTTGCCAAGTAGTATTATACTGAATGGTTGTATATTTAAATGTTTGATGAGTAGCAGCATGCCAAATGGCATTATTTTGACCAGTGTTTATTTGTAAAAAAAATTAAATTTTCTTTTTTAATAATTTTTATTAAATAATCAAAAAAATCTTTTTTATTTTATTTTTTTACTTTATTTTTGAAATATATTTATATACAAACTATATTCTAAATACAAGTTGTTTATTATTATTCTTATTATTATTATTTATAGTTTTTTATCTTGTTAAATTTTGATTTATTTCTTATTTATATTATTTACAGTTTGACATAAAAGTTTTTGGACTAATATTTTTTAATATAATTTAATAAATAATTATTTAACATAGATAAAACTTTAAATATATATTTTTTGTAATTTAATAATAAAAATATTCAAATTTTATTAATAGTTTTATCATAAAAATATTGTTTTAAATAGAAAAAAAAAGTAAAAAATTATTGACAAAATTTTTTAAATAATTAACTACAAATCAAAGATTAAAAATAAAAAAATTATTATTAAAGTTAATTAATATATAATTTATTAAACAAGTATAATAAAATTATAAAATAATTTTTTAAAAAATCATAGTTTCCAATTATATAAAAACCTAGTTAATAATTTTTTACTTTTTTTATTATTATTTAAAACAATATTTTTATGATAAAACTATTGATTAACTATTAATAAAATTTGAATATTTTTATTATTAGGTTATAAAAAATATATATTTAAAATTTTATCTATGTTAAATAATTATTTATTAAATTATATTAAAAAATATTAGTTCAAAAACTTTTGTGCCAAACTGTATATGATTTGTTACATTTTTTATTTCTTATTAGTAATATAAACAAATTTAAATATATACTTTATCATTTATCTGATAACAATAATTTTTATTATTTATGACTATTATAAACTTAAAACTAGAACTCGTGTTACAAAAAGATATAATTAATTTTCTATTATTTTAATTTACTAGCTTAGTAAACTATTATACAATTGCTAGACTTGGACAAGAAAATAAGTTTATTAATTAAAGATTATGTAAGTTGCATAAAAAAATATCTGGATACAAGATGACTATTTTATTCTATAGCTATTATTATTATTCACAATACATTATCAAATCTATATGAGTTTTTCAAACCTTCCTTCCCTTACTGATACATGATTTGATACATCAGATCCCTATATTACATCTCATTTCATGTTCTATGTCATGCCTGTGCCATGCCTTGCCCCACCCATACAAGTTCTCATGCTATCTATAATGATTTTTTTAAAATTTAAGAAACTAAAGTCAAATTAATAAAGTCACATCCAAGCTTTGTCCAATAAACTCAGTAAAATACAAATGCCTCACTTCTTTGCTCTCTTCCAATTCTATATAGTTGTTATGCGAAACTCTTTCAGTTTTGGTGACAGGTTCACTATTTTACCATTACAGGATAAATAAGTTGCTTCTTTTATTTTAACGTACTTAATATAAGTGCAAAGGTTAAGCGTTTTGTTCTTGTCAAATACAATATTGGGTTTCCAGATAAATTGTATTGTATCTTCAGCTTATTATTATGTTATATCCTACAGTCATCCTCCCATATAATCACACTCTCGGGAGCATAGTAAAAAATTCTAAAGCTGTGATTATATAGGGGTTGTGACTATATAGAGGTAATTTTATAATTGTTTGGTGCTTAGTCTAGCCAAGAGGTGTGATTATATAGAGGTTTTTTATATGGTGTGATTATATGGGAGGTGACTATATGGGAGGATGACTGTAGTATAGGCATTTTGTTTAACTAATTACGAATTCGTATATTATCAAAGAAAGATGATTGGTTAGTGTTTCAACGCGATACCGTTATGTCGGGGAGATTAAGATGGAAATTTAAGAATACATTAAAAATAAGTGAAAATTTTTAAGCATGTAAATATTAGGCGCATGTATAAATATATGCAGTGAGTTCAGTAGTATTTTAAATATTAGATGACATTCACATTATATTTATATTATTTATATCGAGATATTTATAAATGCTGCGATGAATACTGTATGTCAATTTGATTTTCATATAATAAGATGTTGATAAATGGCACGGAAATAAAATTAAATGGTTGATATATTGTATAATGATATGAACATGTAAGGTTTCTAAAATATTAATTATTTTTCAATTCTGATTATAGAATTTGTCTTATTAAATTTGCAAGTTTAAAATTTTTATACATTATATGCTGCATACATATTATTATTATATATTTTCAAAATTGTTATTCAAAAAATTTTCCAATCCATACTATTATCGTCAAAGTTGTTTAACAAAAATACGTTAATTATATAATTTGGTTGTTGCAATTCAAATATTTTACATTGGAATAATAACTTATTTATTTTTTATTATTTTAAAAAAATTTTTATGCCCGTGTGTAAAGTAAATAAAGATAAAATTAAACATTGTTTCATCTATATGCAAATAAAAGTACGACTTTTAAATCCAGTAATTCGATTAATAAAATTTTGATTAGCATAGATATGGTGAATTTCAGCTTTTATGTTAAATTCTTTATGACTTGTGCATGTAGATTCAAAATAATTGTCCGAAGCGTTAGCGTAGGACACTTCTGTCAGAGTCCATTTACCATATGCAATGCCTGTGAGTGATTATGATGTTGTTTGACACGTACTTTAATTTTATTAATACTTTTTATTGTTACATTAATTTTTTTTGAAGCGTTGCATGGGACTACCATTCTAAACCAAACCAGACACGTCTTGTCTGTCCGTACGCGTGATTTACAGTATTTTAACATATGACGTTATTAGCTACGGACTTACAATGGTTTCTAATTCCTAGTTTAAAATAATGCTTAATTTACATGTATATAGTGTCGATACAATGCGATGTCTACTATTCTAAATTTTATGTTATCATAATATATTAAAGCACACACATGCTGTAGTTTAACTGTTTTTAATCAGTCAAGACAGAATTAACTCATTTATGCAAATGGTTCAAATTTTTCTTTTCTTTTATTTTTTTATTTTTTATTTTTTACGCTTTATTTATCTACCGGAATCGTATGAGAGTTTAACGACCTGCAAGTTCCTACCAACCGCCAATCGAATGAGAGCGGAACAATCTAAAATATGACGATCGGAACATCATTAAAAAGAGAAATGATTTTCAGTAGTTCCGAATTTCATGTAACTGAGTAACAAAATTGGCAACAAATACAAGTATATATATAGCTTGGAAAGTATTTTTGGAATTAAAAAACCAAAAGTTTTTTTTTTTTTATAGAATTCATGATAAACAACATGGTGGACAAAAAATAAAAACTCATTTATCATAAATTTTAATTTTATATAAGAAAAAAAATTGATTTTTAGATGTAAAAAAAAAAATCGATATGCAATGGTTTTCTTTTGATTCGCTACTTTATTTTTGAATGCCGCTATTATTATCCCTGACTATTTTTAGGATTGTTTATGATTTACATCATGCATAACAATTTATCCCTTGTTTTACTAATTAACCCAGTATATAATCTGTCTTTTCTACGTGACTCGTGTGTTATCGAGATCTACTGTGTTTCTTATGTTTTTGAGCAAATAGATCGCATTAAGATGTATATGATTATTTTTTATATGTTTAAATAATAGCCCAACCGTTAAAAGGAAAATTAATTGATGAGAGTAATTCAAGTGATATTTTCAAATAATTTTCTTTTTGGATTTTCTATGAAGTAAAGACATGATTTAAAATTTGCTGGCGCAAAAAATTTTTATCAGATCGTAAGTTTGTAGTTTATTTATGAGATTTATTGATTTATAAACAGAAACCATTTGATTAGTGCTCTGACAATCATAAAAAGTTTTTAATTGTACAATTACTCAAGGCAACCGTCTAAATTCGAACAAATTGACTACACCATATATATTCGAGTTGCAAATATAACCGCAGAAATTTTATAATTAGAGAAATTCATAGTATTTATAGAACAGGTAACATAAAAATAGAAAATATATCGATCTCATTAATTCTATAACACGGGAATAACTACTCTATGAATTCTGTTGGTTCATTTCTGTTGCGCTGCTAAGAAAATAGAACTTTTATGTATCATTCTTCATCAATAATGTGTCTCAAGGGGTTGAAACCCTACTGACGTCTGATAAACAATCCGATAATGCGTTAATTGCACATCTACATGCAAAAAACAACATAAAACCCCCTCAACAAATTTAACAAATGTTAAAACGTCAATTGCGTTTTTTTTTTGTTTTTCTTCATCCTACTTTTTATATATATAAAATTTTTTCTGTAAAAAATTCAAATACCATAAATAAGATGATTAAAATTGAGAAAAAAAAATCAAGTAAACGTGGTAAAAATCGTAGAAACAAAACTTACCATCTACCATATCAGCTAGTATTCACTTTTAAGGAGAACCCATTTTATCCTCCATTGCTTCTGCCGCAATCTCTTCCAACAAAAGAAGAAATTAAAAAAATAGTTGAAAAATTAATTTCAAAACCCAAACTGGGAAGGTTTCCGAATTCTTTTATTATATATCGGAATGTCTATGTTAAATATTTGAAAGACAATGGTCACAATATACCCATGACCGAACTTTCACCAATGCTCTCACATTCATGGAATATGGAACCGCCTTACGTAAAGGAAGCTTACTCAGAAATCTCAAAAGAAATCGAACGGCAATATAAACGAATAACTAAAAAGAATAAACCTCCACAAAACCAGTCTCTTTCTAATGGATCATTCCCAGAAACACTTCAACCTCCTACGGGGGAACCCAATTTTCATAATGGGGTTTTTTCATATTCTTCTTCAGAACCAATTTTCTCCTGGTCTCCTAACCCTCTAGATTACCAAAGTCCTCACGTTGAATATATTGATGTTTCACCTAACCAGTTAATTTACTCGCCTGACACATACGGTTTTCCACCTTTATTCTCTGTAAACGCCGGTTTGTTTTCTAATATTACTTCGGACATTTCATACGGCGGCTGTTCAACGTTGTCTCCAGGTATAAATCATCATTTTAATATAAATCACGTGATATGACCTACATATTTTTAATTCTATTAAACCTTGTTTGAAAAATGCAAAATTTTATCTTCCACATTTTATTGTTTTATCTTAAAGTTGCCAACAATTTCGTATATTATATTCTGCAAACCATAACATTTTGTACATAGAAAAGCTCTTGTAATATTTTTTATATAACATCGTAATAATGAATAAAATTTTTTGGGTTAATCCATTGTCGATTCCTTTATCCAATCATTTTCTTTTAATGGTTCCACAGTGTTACAAGGTATCTGGTCTCGGACAAGGGTTACATATCTTGTGCAATTAATGTGTACATGTATATAATCACCATATATTCGTACTTAATATTAGCTACGAAAAAATATGGGCGTAAAACAATTAATTATTTTTTATCGTACGCTGGTTCATGTATTTATCATCATCTTGTTCGTACCATTCTAAATGTAAGATATGTCAATAAGATGATAACTGTTTTTGGTAATGTGATCTTTTTGGGGGCTGAACAACGAAGTTTCCGAAAGAAAACCCGATTGTTTCGATGGTTACAAAATTCTTTATATCGCAAATAACCTTCTATTATATAAGAATTCGAGAATTATTACGTTTATCCAAACAAAGAATCAACACAAATTATATACACCATTATCGGTATCCAAGTTTTACGCTGGTACCGTCAAAACATGACACGTACAGTACCTACAATATGTCGTGCATTGCAACAATTATCATACCATCGAGCTGTTTTATGCGTTATTGTGTTCATAACGCCATATACGTATGTGATAAAGTACAATTAAGTTTGACTAAAGGTTTTGCATTGCATTGTATATTCGACCTTTTGTTTCCTATAGAGAAGAGATAAAAATTACGAAAAGTAATCATATTACCTTTATGTACATTTCAAATTAATTTCTAAATTTTTGATTTTATTTAAGATTATTAACGAAATGCTGTGTATTAAATCGTTATTTCCCAATAATTCTAGATTCATTTTACGAGGCCTGAATTATCGTATGATTAAGTAAATAATTATGCAATTGGCACGTTACTTTTTTCTATTATGAACTTTCCTATTTGCCTGATAGCACAATTAAACATAATGTATCTTGATTGATTCGGCATGTGGCTGATAATTTATCCTAACAATAATGTTATTAAAAAAATTCTTAATGATTTTATTATAATTATCTTTGTTCATTATAATATAAACACAATATATTCTTTAAAAATCAAAAGATTGTGCTATTATACTGTAATTTAATCTAAGTTATCATACTGTATTATATATTTTTATGCAATAAATTTAATCTTATATCATGATCTTGTTAAATACAACTAAAAAACTTTTTAAATTGATTACTATACGTCAACTATATATTGATAGTGTTTTTCAATAAATACATTTTAAATAAAATTATTTATTATATTGTCATATGTTATTTTTATCTTAAATAAATATATATACATAATGAAAAATAATGGTAAAATCTTTATTTTATACAATTGGATTAAACAAAAACATCTAAAATATTGTTTTACTTTTATTAACAAAAGCAAATTAAAAATGTTAGAAATACAAAAATTATTGGAATAATAACAACTTAATTAAAATATAAAATTATTTAATAAATACTATTGTTTTTATCAAATTTTGAATTACAATTTATATAAAAAAAATTGACTTCAGTTTTTTTGTAATAATTTAATAAATCTTTAATAATCTTTAATATATAAAGGCTTGTTTAAAAACTAAATATTTAAGGTTTTTATTAAAAAAAAAACTGTACATTAATAAGAAATTTGATTACTATTATTATCAATAATTAACTAACAATATTAATTCATTAATTTAACAAAATTAATCAACATAAAACTTGAAATTTTTTGCTATTCTCCAGTTAAATACTAATATAAATTACTAATATTTAATAGCATCTTTTTTTTTTTTTTGCAAATGAGCATTAGATATGTAATTTTTATTAAACAATTGTTTATAATTATTACATCAACAATCTTTACAAAAATAAGTTAATTATAGCCTATTACAACTAACTTAACATTGTCAACAGTATACTATATGAGTAAGTTAATACTAATAATGCCAAATGGCTAATGCTCATTCAGAACAAAAAAGTTGGTATAGTGAAAAATATAATTTTGTTAATATTCAAGTGATTTGATTCTAAAATATTTAGGATGGTATCAAAAACACTATAATTATTTTTGTTTATTTGAGGTAGTGAGGTAGATACTTTGGTTTTCTTTTATTTTATTTCTTCAGATGGGAAGGTGATCACAGTTTCAGACCTCTGTTTCCAAACCTTATATATTATTTTTAGTGCTTTGTTAAAAATGTCCTCTTTATTTTTATCAACATTGTTAAATAGATGGATAGTTTTCCAATGTCATTTGAAAGATATAAAATTTAGTTAAGAAACTTGTGCTGATGAATTGCTGTGTATTGTCATTTGTGAAACTGTGCTAATTTGGTTGGATTGAATAAGATCTATGAGTTTTGACTTTTTCTTATTAAGGTATTTCTTCTGTGAAAGTAATATATAATATGTTCTTAAGTCTCTTCTTTTATATCATATCGGAGGCAGAGATTGTTCATATAGAGTGTTGAATATCTCTTGTGAAACTTAATCTTGTCAGAAGTCGATTTGTTATTAATTTAGTATGAAAGGTAGAGAGATATCTAAATTTAATTTGGTCTGCTTTTTTGAGTTTTTTGTTAACTTTGATAATGTTTTCAAATTGATTAAAAGAGTTCAACTTATAGTGAGCTGATTGACTTAAGGTAAGGTCAAATAGGTTTGTGTATAGATTGACAAATTTGATCCAGTATGTTATGGAAGTTGCATTGATATGATTTATAAGTAATAATGTGAAGAAGCCTTTAGGTAATTTAATTGGAAGGGACTGACTTGTGGTAATATTATAAGTTGTTTTGATTGATACTTTGTGTTTTTCCTAGGTAATTATAATATTTTTAGAAAGTATGGTTTTGTTAATATGGTTGATATGCCTTGAAAAGAGTATTTTTATTTGTTTATTGATATACCCTGAAAGATAAAAGTCAGATATAGTGAATATTTTGCAGATTATATGTGAACTTGGTAATTATAAAAAGACTGTTTGAACTATGACTGATCAAAAATTGGTCCATGTATTGAAGTTATTTGTGAAAGAGTATTGAGAAATATTGGAGTCAATATCTATAGAGTTTGAAGAGATGATAATTGTTATCATTTTAAGGAATTGATAATTGATAATTGGAGTTTGAATTATAATTTGTAGGTAAGATATTGATGCTGTATGAGAATGTTTACTAGTTTACTGATATTATTAAGGAGTTCATAATATTGATTGTATGTTGTGAACCAGGTTGATCTAAATTGGCTTAGATAGTGGCTCTTGGTACATGGTTGGATAGAATATGAGTATAAAATGATATGTTTATTGTATAGATCTAGAGTGTAATGTTTTCTACTTATTATTGAACATATTATAGTATTGTATCTGATTTTGATAAAGTTGAGGTTATTATTTTTATTGTAGCATTAGAACTTCAGTTTTGGATTAAGAAGTGGCAATGTTTTTCCTTGGATTGGCAGTAAAGTGTTCATGAGACTTGTGAACCAATTTGGTATTGGCCTTTTGGTTATGAAGCTTTTATAAGTATAAAGTTCTTTTCAAATAAGTTTGGAGGAACCATTGAAAACTATTATATTATAAAGAGTTTGATGTTCAAATGATAGAGAGACAGCAATTTTTTTATTTAGGTTGGTGATGTGACCTATTGATAGTTCATAGTTCTTAATATTGAATGGACAGGGTGAAGAGCATATATGAATTTTGAATTTACTAGCGACGCTTGCTGCTTATGTGATCCAAAAATGTTTGAATAAAGTAGGATAGTATAGCAGACATGACCATATGGCATGTGAAGCTTGTATTGATCTGATTTTCTATATGGTAGCTTGGATTGTTACTGGATTGACAAATTTTGGTACCAGTAATTTGATTGCAATTATATCTCTTCTGTTCTAAAGTTTTACTATATCAAGGTTGACTTTGGAGTAGAGAATTCTATTGGAAATTGTGCACTCAATGCCCAACTTTGACTTAATGGCTTTATTGAGTTTGGCTTGAAGAAAGTTAATTTTACTATTTGTTGTAAAGGATATATATGTGGCATATTCTAATTGTACTGGAACTATTTAGTAAGAAACTTGTTTTGTGATTATGCCATTCCATGCATTTTGAGTTGCTATAGCGTTAATAAAATTTGTCACTTTTTCAATAAGTTTTTTTCCTGGCTATAAGATTAAAGAATTTTCCTGAGAGGAATATGCCCAAATATTTGATAACTTTATTGTATGACTTGGCTTAAATACTTTTCTCTTCAACCTTAAGGGCTTTTTGCCATTTTGGTTCTGAGGATTTAAGGTTAGTAATAAAATCTGTTTTCTTTTAATTGCATTTGATATGGTTCAGTTTTAGGAAAGAGCAAAAGGTACCTGTTGCTTTTTTGTAGGTTGTTTATACTGTTGCTTGTGATTACAGTATTATTTATATAAGTAAGAATTCTTATTTTTCCTAAAAAATCTTTGGAGATTTTGGATACTATTGGGTTATAAAAAATTGTTTAGAGCAGGAGAACCAATGTATCACCTTGGTCTATGCCATTGTTAACTGTAATAGGATCCATAATCTTATAGTATATTATTATACTTAGGTTATGATTAAGTAAGAGATTGAGGATCAGAGAGGAGGTTGTAGGGGGATTTTAATTTACTTTAGAACAGATTTCAAACCTAAGAGATTTATAGAGTCAAATGCTTTGAAAATATCAAAGAAGGCAATCCAGTGTTCACTGTTAAGATTGTTGACAAATTCTAGTTCAGAAAATATAATGGCTAGAGGTTTCATAGTGCTTTGATTTTTGAGCTCTGCAAATGAATTATATAATAGGATAATGTTTTTGCAAATAATATTTGATAGTCTGTTGTTAATGATTTTGATAATAATTTTTCTGCTGGTTTCAATAAGAGAGATGGGATAGGTATCTGTTAATTCATAAGATCAAATTATTTTCTTGAGTAAAAGTGTGATAACAGAGTGCTTTCAGTAATTGGATAGAATGCTGGAATTCAGAACTGAATTGAATAATTTTTTAATATGTTTCTTTGCTTTAGCGTCCAAGTTAATCCAAGCTTTATATAGAATTAAGCGGAGATCAGGAGATTTTTATTTTGGAAGAGATAGAAGGGTTTCATTAATTTCATCAAGTCTGATTTCAGCTGTTGTATCAAGAAAAACATTGTTAGGAAGAAAACTTATGAATATATATTCACTTGATCAAAATGGATCCAAGTTAAAAGGTTTAGGATCAATAATTTTTTTGAAGTGGCTAATAATGATTTCAATTAGTTTGTCTGGATCATCTTGTAATTGTTCACTATCAAAAAGAATGGAGAGATTCAAGAAGGGTTTAAGATCTCCTAGAGCTTTTTTAATTGCTGCTTTGAGCTTCTCCCAGAAGTTAAGAAAGTTTTTTTTTATGTAATCTCTGATTTCATCAATGGCCAACTGCTTGATCTTTTCTATTTTTTCATTGAAAAGAATTTTTGTAACCTTTCTAAGAGATTTAATAGATGATAAGTTATTGATAATGTTATTGTATATAGTAGTTGCTAATTGGAGGAGTTTGTTTAGTATTGTATTATTATATATTGCAGCTATTGCTCTTTTTGTAGCTTTGATATTAATATTATATTGGAGAAAAACTTTGTTAGGTGCAGTTAGTGATATTTGTTTCTTTATTGGAATGTTGTCAGTCATGGCTCTTTTTATTATAAGGTTAATTTCTTCCCAGGATAGGAAACTTGCTTCTGTATATGTAAGTTCTATTGATTCTCTTATTGATTCAATTTGTTTCTTTGTTGTTTTGTTGAATTGAAAAGTTTTTGTAATAAATAAAATATGGTCTGAATTATATTCAAACCAGTTCAGAACTGTCGTGATTATTTTGTGATTGGTAAAAATTGCTGTTTGATCAAAAACTTTGTAACTAAAGATTTTACTGGCCAGATTTGTTAATAGTCAGATTTGATTTAACCTGAAAGCACTGATATTTGTTATATATATATAAAGATGTACCTTACTAATAACCTTGGCTATATTGATTAAGTTTGTAAAATATCTGTAGATTCTTTGCTTGTAGAGAGAAATAAAGCATTTATAGAGGGTGATCCTTTTGGATAGAAGTTGAAATCTCTGGTGATTATTAGATGTTTGTTTTTGTATAAGTTTATAAACTTTCTAAAAGATTTCGTAATCTCAGATTTGTTTGTTTTTTCATGGAGCAGATATATTGAGATGATAATAATGTCCACCTTAGGTTTGAACTTGAGGTGGACAGCACATTAAAATTCATTTTTGATATAGGTATTGAATATGTGACAAAATACCTCTGTAGTCAAGATAATGTATGCCCCATTGCTGGCTATCGAATTTGATTTACTGGAGATAATTATCTTGTTGTTTATTCTGTTAAGTAATGGATTATTTATTGTAGATTTGGTTTCAGTGCAGCAGAAAATTGTTCTTTTGTTTTTAATAGATTTGATAATTTCATTAAGCTTTTCTTTTTGATTTAGTCCTTGAATATTGAGTATGGAAATTGTAAGAAGGTTTTTAATATTTGAGGAGGAATTATGTTGAGAAGATAATATAAAGGAAGGTGAAAAGTTGGCTACATTTGTTGTTGTCAAGATTAGAAGAGACATGGAAGAAGAGTCAATCCTGGGTCAGACAACTCTTTTTCAATGATAAAGATTAATGGGAGTTTGTCAAAGTAGAAATAAGTTCTAAGCAGCTTCTAACAGATGTCAAGTATTGATCATCAATTAGTAAAAGTGTTATGTTGATATCGATTTTGTTTAATTGTTCTTGAGTTTTAATTAATGAGGATAAAATTGGAAGGACAGATAGGATCCATTTCTATGGAATTGATCCCTGGTATGTGTTTTTGATTTTTTTTGAGCAATTGTGAAATAGTGGATAAGTTTCTATACAGCTGTTTATCTGTAATATTAAGTTGATTTTTGAGTTCCTCTATGGTATCTGGAATGTATGGTTTTTCATCCTGGATTAAGTTTTCATTGATTCATTTTGCTCCAAGTAATAGTTTAAAGAAGAACTTTTGTTAAAGTAACCGAATAAAACTTTTTACTTTCTCTTATGACTGGATTGATAAGGAAACAAGTTGTTTTCACTGTACCAGTGAGCTGATAAGAGTGGGTGTTTGACTTGAATATAGTCCAATAAAAGTCACCTAACTGCAAAGTTGTTGGATCTAAGGAGATTCACTATTGAGCAAATTGCTTCAGAATTGTTTTCTACTAGAAAATAGTATACAAGTTCAAAAGATAGATCTATATAGGATGGTGGTATAGTTGATTTTGGTGGGGAAAAATTGAAGTAGGAATTTGACAATTTGACAGGAACAAAGTAATGATTTCTTAATTTACTGGTGAGTTCATCAAGATTTCTGAGGTTACTTTATTTAATCAAGGAAAAGAGCAATTTGATTTCAGGTTTGAGATTATAAAGATTGTCGGGGACTGATGGTCTCTGAACAAAAAATAAGACAGGAAGCTGATCAAAATTGTAATAGGCTCTAAGGCTACTTGTCACATCTGCTGTGTATCTGGAAAAAGTAATAGGGATAGCATGTGAAAGCTTGATTTTGATTGAAGCAAGAATGTAATCAAGCAAGGTGAATAGTAAAGAAAGTTTGTTTTTAATGGATTCCTCATATTTGAGGAAGAGGATTTTGTAATCCAGTCTCTCAAATGTGATGTCAATAAAAAAGTTAAAGCCATATTCCAAGAGTTAGGTTATTTGCCAGTATTTAAAAGCAGCAAGATTTGTGAATTTTAAGAAGGTAATAAAGAGGGCTTAATTAATTATTGTTCTTATTTTTTTTCAGGTTGTTTTACTGATATAACCAGTATTGTTGGCTTTTAGGTAATTGTTGTAAAAGCCTTTTTCTAATTTTTTATATTCAATTTGATGTTAACTTTTTAGGGAAATTTCTTTGGCAAAGGTCCTGAAGAAGCTATAGTCTCTATAATCAATTTTTGTCATTATAGCTTTGATTGTTGGTTTCATTTTGAAAGGGCCTTCCTTCCTAATTTTAAGAAACCATTGAACAATGGTATCAATGTTTCTTTCACTTTTGTCAACTTCTCTGCAGAGTTCAAGAATTTAGAGTGCTCTTCAAAAAGACTAATTTTTTTGATGTCTCCTTCAATTGTTGATAGTATGTTGAAACTGGTGGTATTTTTATTATTATTAACTTTATTTACTTAGGAGATAGCAACTGTGGCTAAAGTTGAGTTAAGTTGTATCAGAACAGTGGCTAGTATATTCTGCTTATCAATTTCTATTTCTGTGCTGTTATTGGGTGTTGTGGGTATAAAAGAACTAATTTGGTTGGGATTATACATGGTATATGATTCTGTATGAAGGCTGGTTTGATCTATATTGTGTCAGGAATAGCTGCATGAGATGTTTTAGTTGAACAATCATTCTGCATTTCATTTTTGTTACTTATTGCCTTATTTAAAGCAGGAGTATTTGGAGGAGATCTGGGTGTTTCAGTTTTTGATTCCAGGGAGAAAATATTATTCGTGCTTGAGAAGTGAATGTCAAGTTTATTCCATGAAATGTCCAGCTTGTAGTTTAATTGTTTTTTTATAATTTCCTTCACTATCTTATTTCTATCTTCATCAGTAATCTCAAAAATATTTTGAAATTCAAAGAAGGCATTGAGAGAGTCTATCAGTATGGGGCTCAAGTATAAAATATTGACAATAGTTGTTGGTATTGAAATTTTAGTTCTTTGATAAACTTCAAAGAAGGCAACGATTACTTTGGATGTCTCTGGATCTTTAATGGTAAAGTGCATTGGTGTGAGCTATAATTGAGATGTATTTCCAAGTTTTAGAAGTTTGTGGGAGGAGTTTGATGGTAAGATGGTAATTTTATTTGTTTTTTGTTCTTGTAGATGATAACGGCTTCTGGTTTTTTAATGTTAGTGATGAGAATATCCAATAGAATGTGTTTATAATTAAAAGGTTGGATCTTGAAGAAGGAAGTTTCTCCAGAATTTCTAGAGATTTTTTTTTTGCAATGAAATTTTTATTTTCTTTTTTGATAATTTTATTCAGATGCAAGTGTTTAGCAGAAAGAGTTTTTTTTTTTTAGAAACTCCATTTTTCAAACAGTCCTAAGCAAAGAATGGAACTATTTCAAACATGTTTCATAAAACAGGACAAATATTATTAGAAGCACTGCAGAAAACAAAAAATATATATATATTTAAAAATATTTATCAATTAAATACATTATTATCACAAAAAAAAAAAAAAACTCTTTCCCGTTCACTCCACTTTCCTTAAAAATTTCCTTTTTAGGAAATACTCTTTTTCAAAACGAAAGAAAAAGAGGTTTCTACAATAGAACACACTCCAATATCCCTAGGTTAGCAGCACAACACTGTACTCTCTCTTTGGAGATATAGCTCTTGCTGGTAAAGAAGTTGTAAAGGCTGAAAACAGCTCCCTTTATCCTCAAACAAGTGCCTTGGATGGCAAGCTGAAAGTACTATCGGAGTTATGTGTTGGCTCCTTAATGACCAAAGAAGTCGGGTGGTATTTCTCATACAGCTAGAAGATACAGGCTAACAAACAACAAAAAATAAAAGAACACACATTTATCCGAACAGGCGACATATTACAAGTACCAGACATTCTCCACTCTTTCTCTACGAACTTTGACTATGGCGCAATATTGTATCCCTTTGTGTTGGGGGTATAATATCTTGCGACTGAACTTCATCTGACCATAATGGATAGCAACGGTGGCATACCACTTGAATCAGGAAGCAAATGGCCAATCCTAGTTGGAGATTTTTTGGATAGTACAAAGATCTGCAAGAAGGCGTAAGGAGTATGGGTAGATCTCACACATTTATAGAACACAAAAATTCATATACAAACAGGTTTTAGTAGTTTCTCCTTTGTATGTACAACTAAAAAAGATTTTTTTTGACCTAGTTAGAGCCAATGAAATTTTTCATTGGATATAACTAGACCATGGCTGATTGTATTTAGATATGGTCTTTTAAGACTCTATTTATCAGATGGTGGGTGGAACTTAAAGGCGTACATTTAGGCACATTAGCATTTCACCAATCTTATTAGGATTAATGCTTGCATTGGTGCTGGTAAGATCAGATGAATAAGGGGCAACAAGCCGGCCGGTAGACATAGTCTTAGGTAGTTTAGCAGATAGCCAAGTAGACAAATTTGTATTAAGCAAATTTAAAGTTCTACAAACCAATATCTAATAAACAAGGCATACGCCAGTCATGTTAAAAAAAAAAAAAAAAAAACTTGTACTAGTTAAAATATTATCATTTGATATACTGTTACTCATCAAACATTTGAATATACAACTATTTAGTATAATATTACTCAACAATAATTTGGTATATATCAAATTACTGTCAATCCTGTCTAAATGTATACTGTATAAATAAATATCTTGTATAAATGAATATAATTTCTGGGAACAAGAATGGTTCCTATAGTATAATTATATAAACTGTCTGATTGATTATTGAATAAAAAATTTATAATTATTCAATTATGCAGACCATCACATGGGATAAAAAATAAGAAATTTATATTATATGAATATATAAATTTTTGTTCTTCACACCTTGTGATCTGTACTTCAGTGGATCATTGATCACATGACTACATTATCGTGATACGATGATCATATATTTATACGTAATAAATTAAAACTTTTCGTTTTTGGTCAGTACGATCCTCATTTCCTTACCAGTTTGTTTCTGTATGCCGAGTGAAGACTGGTCAGCATTAATTATGTTAGAATAAGGCTGGTAGCGTATCGGTTCAGACGACAGTTTTACAAAATTTATT